AAGTGTATTATTACTATTTAATACTGGAATCTTCAGTGAAACATCAAAGCTCTATTGTTGTTTTATATATATATATATATATATATATATATATATATATATATATATATATATATATATATATATATATATATATATATATATATATATATAAATAATATATATAAATAATATATAGATGAAATATATATATATTATATTCTCTGCCATTCTGCAAAGCTTCCACAGGGAGCAGAGCTCAGCACCTTCCTATCCTCTTATATATATATATATATATATATATATATATATATATATATATATATATATATATATATATATATATTTTTTTTTTAAGTTGATCAGAGTTTCTACAGACTTCTAATTAGCAGCCATAACTTTTGGTATCAATGGAATATAAATATGACGAAGTATAGAGGCCTATTTATCACTAAATACTTTGCTGGATGTGGACTCAGGCTATTGCCTCCACAAACAGTCTGCAGCACGGTTAAGGTGGTGCCAAATCTTCAAGAACAGGCATTAGAAACTGTAGAAAAGAGCGATATCTTAATGTCGCTCTTTGCTGATTGTTAATACTGCTGGAAAGGAAACAACCTTTTCCGTCTTACCCACCCAAACATGAACATGTCTGCTGAGTCTTAACTGAAACTGTGTGTTTTGGACTAATGAGATAATACCTATGAGACTCAATGATCACTGATCCACATGGCCTTTATGCACATTTGCCATCGTTTTATACAAAGTTTGATTATGACATAATTTAGATCCCGACAAGTATTGAAAGGAAAATTACTGTACTCAAATTAAAGCCTGGCTTTAAAAACAAATAAAAAATCAGTGTGGGATTATGCTTGAGAATTATATAGGCACTCTTCATTCCACCAGTGCCTATAAGTGCAGGTTGATACTGTATAAATGGTGTCACCATTAGGAGATATCTAAATGAACCCTGAGCACTCAGGTTAGCATCCTGAGCATCCATGTTTCTGCATTGTTATGACTTTCCACAAGGTAAAATGTTTATTTTATTTTTGATTAAATAAGTTGTGTTGCTATCAACACAGAATCAATTGCATTCTGTTTGGGTCAATGTCACAAGGGAATATACTCTTTAAAAAAATCCGTTAATTTCAAGACTATTCTCTATGCGTTTCTAAGCTTCCTCCTGGTTCACTGCTACCAATTAAACAAGGGTCCATCTCCATTTATTAATCACCAAATGTCAGCCAATCCCATCTTGATGAGCATGGTTGGAGTGAGATAAACATCTGAAGTGTCTGTTCTCCACAGCTTGCATTCTCTGCCATTCTGCAAAGTTTCCACAGGGAGCAGAGCTCAGCACCTTCCCATCCTCTTCTTACACAGGGAGACTAGCAGAGTGTTACTGATCCATTCTCACCCATCCCCCATCCCATCTCCCACGCTCCTGCTGAGGGAGCTTTCTGCTTATTTATTTATCTTCTTGAAATGAACAGGCATTATCAAGAACCATCTGTCAGGAGTGTTAGTGTCCTTCACGCCTTGCCACTTGTGAAATGCAGAATGAAAGAGGTCCAAAAATTTTGCTGAAGCACCGTTTGAGTTTTTCAGTCAACAACACTTTCACATATTCACGCTGTATGCAGCCATAATGCAAAGATTAGCTTCTGGACATTGTGACTGTCCCCGGTTTTGTATTTAGTGTTGGTTCAAAGCAGAATTAGAAGCATTAGGGCACTTTAAGGCAGCATCAAACACTGAACTGTGTGTAAAATTAGGCCTTTTGTTATGTTTTTACTGAATCCCATCATTGAGGAAAGGTGAAGATGTTAATCATCCATATTTCCCTAATTAAACTCTGTCCCCCATTAATTACTCCCTCGCGTGGCCAACAATTTGTGAGCAACTCCAAGCTGCCAGACAGCTTTTATTGCAAACTATTAATTAGTTGTCAGCTGACTCAGGCATAGTCTTAAGTATTTTAGAGGTGGTTTATGAGTTTAGAAAAACTAGTGTGCAAAAACAAGGAAGAGGATAGATCAGGTTTGCTGTATGTTGCACTTTAATGCCACACAAAATTTGTGTTAATATTTAATTCACCTACAACTATTTTGAAATCCTCCTAATTTCAATAATTGACACAAAGTAAATTAGCTTTCCATCCATAAAAAAAACAAATTAATTTAATTGTATAACTGGCATAGATGTCACAGCTTGACTTTGCATATAAACAAACACAAATATTTGCATTTTAGTATAATGCAGTGCATGCTCTGAAAGCCTAAAATAAAGCAACTTAGAGTTGACTGCCCATGATTAGGTAAAGTCATATTTAAAGCTTCACACTTTTCTAGAGTAGCATGTATTGGTATCACCTTTATTATTTGAGCTGATTTGTTGAAATGAACATTCATTCATTTCTGTTCAAAAAACAAAGGAGTTGTTTGTTATTTTTCTATTTTGTTTTTTTAAAGTCCTGTGTTAAACATATTTAATAACTGTGTAACCAAATAAAACAAAGATAGATTCTGACTTTGTGTTAATGTCAATGTAGCCATAAGTCAACCTATAACACCCAATGGTGTAACAGGTTTATATTTGACAGCAGTAATTCTAAGTTGTCATTTTCTGTAAGACCTTATAGAAAGGGAATAGAAAGCTAAAGAATAAGTCTCTACGCTTTGCAGCTAGTTTGAAGTGTTTGTGTTGACATGCTGACTTTGTCTGTTTTTGTCAGACATCACACCGAGCATCATGGCCAAATATCAACTTTGATGTTCTTGTGCTTCTTTTGTGTGTGTGTGTGTGTCTTTTTCGTTTGCTTTTGCTAAAGAAAAGCCTTTCTTCTGGCAACCCTTCCAAACAAGCCATTTTGTTCAGACTTCATCAAGGTTCCTCAACTTTAGCATTTAACTCACTGACTGTTTTTTGCAGTTTTCTGAGCATTGCAAAAACTCACACTGAGAATTTACTGAGATGTTCATAACTTTTTTGGGAGTTGTCTTTGTGTTGAGTGACCAACTGGTTCTGTGGCTTAAAACAAACAAGCCCAAATCATCTTTATTCCACCATGGTCCTTGACAACACATATGAGGTGTTTGTACTGATAGGTTGTGTTTGGTTTTATTCACGTTTCCTGCTGTGGATTATGGCAAACCATCTATTCCTTTGTCCTATTTGTCCTAAGGACATTGTTGAAGATGTATTCCAGTTCTTTCGTGTGAATAATGCAACACTAAGCCTTGCTGCCTCACTGAGAGAAAACACTTTCTTGGCCTAAAACTTCCAAACAAGGAACAATTCTGTCTTTGTCTAATTTTACTGCTTTAAGCAATACCATTTCACATGCTAGCTGAGGCCTGTCAAGCATGAAATGTAGCTCTTGTTTTCCTTTTTCTCTGAGCACAGAATCACATTGGGGTCAATTTGGAGAAGGATGGACTTCAGTTTCAAATAGCTTTATAAACCTTCCCAAATAAATGGGCAGCTGCCATAGCTTGACTCAGGCAGTTGTTGTCGTCACCTTGACATTGTGTTTGTATACATCTGTATATTCTAAACAAGCAAACTGCCAAAATGCCTGCTTTTATAGATGTAATCACACAAGTTGATGCACAATTAATAAGTTAATTGATCATTTTAGTTTTCATTTTGCAGTGCATAATAAGCAAAAGTAACCTTAAATTGGCATTTTTAAGCCTTGTCCACACAAGCAGACTACTGTGGGTAATTAGATATTGATATGACCAAATTATCTGATAGCGTTTCTGACGGAGGGTTCCGTCAGTGTCATTCACCTCCATGCAATAAAGTGAGAGTGCTGCAAAATCCTTATCTTATGTTGTGTTTAGGAAATTGGTTTGCGATGAAAACACACTCAGTTCCTCAGTGGCTGTGGCGTCAACAAATGGCTGTCTGTCCAGTGTACTGAGCCGTGAAGTAATTTCTCTGTCAATCACCAAGAAACACAATCCCACGTCTAACATGAAAAGAGCTTGCCATCTGTTGCATGCAAACAGTTTTTTTTTTTTGAATCTGCATGGACAGGCCTTAATTTGAAATTTTTGAGATCTAAGTGTAAGTGACAGAAAGCAGCATATTTTGATAATAACACAAAGTGCCATAGCACTATGTTAAAATTTTAGAAGGACAGGATGCAGAGTAGCAATATCTATTGGCCATATTGCAGATTGCAACGAAGACTTGGGCGAAGCAAATAATGTGGTAGCTTTCCAAAAATACAAGCCCTTCTCTTTTCCAGATGGCTTAAAGTTACAAAGTCATGCTTATAGGATTTTTTCTCAAACAAAGATAAAGCAGTGGAAAAACACGAAGTATATGTCGTCATAGTGACAGTTTTCACTCATACCAGCATTCTATCTCTTATCATTACGAATGGAATGGAATACACATTTCAGTTGGCAAAGTAATAAAAATGTACCTACTTTTCTTTAATAAAACAGGATTCATGCCCAAAATACTGCTATAGCTGTGACTTATGGTTTCAGATTATTTCACTTATCTGAAGTGTATCTTTCTTTTTTTATTATTATTATTTTTTGTTTTCTTAGATGTGGGTTCAGTGGAGGGTCTGGCTTATCACCGAGCTTGGGACACCTTGTACTGGACCAGTTCCACTACATCTACCATCTCCAGACAAACCGTGGACCAGAACCGAGTCGGTGCCTTTTCCAGGCAGGCTGTGGTCACTCTTTCAGAGGAAGACCACCCGCACGTACTGGCCCTGGATGAGTGTCAGAGGTTGTAACTCGTCTGTCTCAAAATACATCTCTTACATTGGTTATCAAATTACAATACTGTCTAGATACATGGAGAGTATGTGCACTTTATTCAGAAATAGCATAACTGTATTTAAAATACACATGTTGAAAACTGACATGGCCTAATTACAGTTTATTTATTCAAAGTAAGATTAGAAATAGAAAACTGCCTTAATTGCCCAAACATTAGCAGACAGCATTGTTTCTCCTTAAAATTGTATTTTAGTTTTCTGTCAGCTGTAGGACATTGCTTGTGCTCCTTTATAAGTCCATTCATAAACTTGTGTTGTTGATATTATGCCACGATTTGCTCTGAGTAAAGCTCTCATATCCTCCGATTGCGTGCTGCTCGCTAAGGAGGAATAAAAGCAATTGAGATATTAAGTGCATACTGTCCATGCTGTTAACCTTCAATCTACTAAGAATGTAAAACTGATACACCGCTCCTCTATTATGAATCAGATTTGCAGTCTAAAACCGCTAGTTAAAAATTAATCTGCAAATTAATCATCATAAAACCTGGATTGCATTCAGAAATCATTTTATTATTATATATATATATATATATATATATA